TTCCACAAGGACCTTCTACAGCTGTTTTTCGTGAATGAAAATGAGCAAAAGGTTTGAGTTTGAGGCTGTGCCCAGATATTCAAATGCAGTTCGAAACAAGAGTCAACAATTGACAGTTATGAAAACAGATAACGATGATCGGTCTGACAATGTTAAGGATGATGATGATGATGTTAGGGTTGTCAAGGGAAAACAGTTGTTGTTGGCACACTTTAAGGATGTACAGAAGGGATTTTGTGGCGAAAGAAACAAAGAAGGCCCTCTAATTTGAGACAATCAGTGCCTTTTTATTGATAAGAAAAATCAATGAATAATTCATTGAAATGAGAATACAAACGAATATTTTGTTTTTAGTAAGAAAGTTTATAAAATATTATTAATGTAATTTCGATTAATTTATTAACAAACAAATTAGTTTTAAATAGTTTTAATAAATGTTTGAGCACCTTAAGTAACTTGTTAATTGGTTTTAATTATATATTGCATTTTTTATTACCTATTTTTTATTTTTCAAACACGACTAAGCTACCATTTTTCAGTATTTTAGATAGATTTCCATTCGTTTTCCATCAACCTAAAAACAAATATTAATTGTTTAATGGATTTAATTAATTGTCTGAACTAGTGGCAACTTAAACCATCCCTGTGAAACATATTTCAATAATTTCCTAAACAATAACCAATCAGTTTACGCTGCTTTCCATGAAAATCAAACCAGGAATCGCACTTTACGCCGTAGAAGAACACTTTTCATGGGGGGAAAATCTTCCCACACAAAGCCATACACTTGACTGAAAACGCCGGCCCCATTAAGTTCTACCCCTTCGAAAAATAGAAAGGGAAAATGGGGCTTAGACCGATGTACATGTATTTTAGAGACGAGGAGGAAATTTGACATTTCCCCGCACTTAAATGTCACATAAAGTGTTAAACGAAATGAGGCAGAGGCGGCCGCAGAACAGAGAACACTTGAGATTTCGATTCCGAGAGTCCGATGTTGCGGCGACCCCAAAATGTGCATCACTCTGCACCACCAGCACCACCACCACCACCACCACGTTCTATACTATATAGCACCGCCACCACCACTCTGAAAAGTATTTATGCTGTCATTACTATTCGGTTCGGTTTCGAATCGAATTGGTTTCGGGTTTTGTTTTTCGGGGCCGCGCAAAGTTTACTGCTAATTAAAAATTGTGGAAAAACGAGAAACATGCATGCAATTCAATACCAAAAAGTGTGAGAAAGCGAAGCGACCCATCTGGAGAGACCCTCTAGGATCTAAGATTTACAATTACCCCTCGAAAAGGATTGATTTTCCCAGAGTCCTTTCCACACTTTTCGTCTATCCAACGTTTGTAAAGTGAAATTAATTGAGTTCTCCAATCGATGACGTCAATGCGGAACCGCCGAAAGTACTTAGTTAACTTTATTTTATGTGGGTACCAGCAGCGGTGGGTGAGAATCGAGAAATAAGAATCGTAGAAGTAAAAGTGAGAGGAAGGAATCGGAAAATGATCGACAAATCCAATTTAAATAAAGAACTTACAGTGGGTGTAGCCTTTGAGAGCCTGGGAAGAAATCCTTGAGTGCGAATGCGGGACGTGGTAATTGAAGGTACTCGCCGTTGAATTCGGATATACATATTTCGATTCGGATGTGTGTCAATTAAGCGGTTAATGAGGGCAACTCCTGGGCGAACAGGAAGTGCTGGGAAATCGCAGTCAGAAGAACGTTTTCTTTTGGGGAAGCGTGAAGGCGGATTAAGATCTACAAGGGTGCATAGAGGTAAGACATTTAGTGAGCCCTTAGCATTTCAGCTGCTTTAAATGAGAATAAAAGTGGGAATTCTCAGATGTTAAATAAAGTTAATATCCATAATTTCGCATTGCCTTATTTCTTCTTATTAGATACGTTTTTAAGATGCAATGTAAACAAACGTTCATAGTTTGAACGTTTTAAAATACCATACAATTCCAATCATTTCTTTATATCTAGACATACAATCAATGTATGCAAAACACTAAAGCACAGTGTAGATAAGGTCACTAATAAAATTATTTTAAAACAAGAGAGAACGTTATAGTCGGGTGCCCCGACTATCAGATACCCGTTACTCAGGTAAAGGGAGTGCGAGGGAGATGGAGATAGAAACTTTGATCACGCATAACTTTTTAACGAATGGTCCGATTTGAAAAATGTCTTCTACATTTCGATAGGTATTGATAAACACAATAAAACTGCATTTTTACTTTTCCGAAATATTTAAATTTTTAAAATCGTATATAAGCGATTGTGGGCGTTAAAGGGGGCGTGGCACCATTTTGAAACAAACTTGCCTGCGTAGGAACTTCTAAAATCTACATGCAAAATGCCAATCTTCTAGCTTTTATAGTTTCCGAGATCTCAGCGTTCATACGGACAGACAGACAGACGGACAGACAGACGGACAGACGGACAGACGGACATGGCTAGATCGACTCGGCTAGTGATCCTGATCAAGAATATATATACTTTATAGGGTCGGAAACGCTTCCTTCTAGCTGTTACATACTTTTGCACGAATACAATATACCCTTTTACTCTACGAGTAACGGGTATAAATATTTGAAAAATTTGTAATATTTGAAGAAATAATTATATGTATGTGATTATTAACGAAAATATTTTTGAGCTGCACTTGTATCGCCCCTCTCTTTTTGCCCACCGCATGCTTACCCAATTTTCCCCCATTTCCCAGGGGCTTTTCCGCCAATCGAGTGCGCGCAACAGGTGCATCAGAATGACGACCAATGTGCGCACCTTGCTCGCTTTTCATTTAACACCCACGACACCTCGCACAGATACTCAATACACGCGAAAGCAGACACCCACACCCACTCTCACGATGAACGGCAACTAATTAACATACAAAATGAATGAAACAAAACAACAAAAAAAACGGCCTCTCCCTCGTAAGTCCTCTCTCGCTCACACTGATTGCTTTATGTCTCTCGCTCTTTCTCGCGAGCGTTCATTTCAAGTGAGAAAATTATGAAGCTCCACCTATTTTGCACTTACACACACGTAGCGGGTGTCTGAGTGTGTGTAGGTGTGCGAGGGAGAGGGGGGACACATGTTAACCGCATTAAAAATTAATGTACAAATTGTTTATTTTGTTGTTGAGTCTGCTTTTTTTTTGTTTTTGCTCTTTTTCAAAGAGTGTTCATTAGTGTGAGTGAAATTTTGGAGAATATTTGTGTTTTTTGTATCTGTGAGTTTGTGTTTTTTAATAATTGTATGCCTTAGTTTTGACTACACCAAAAAAGATCCGATATTTAGAATTCAATTTTAAAATAGCCTTGATACTTTTATCCACCAATAATATAAATGTGTATAATTGTTTCATTCATCAATTGTCACTCTTATGATAAATACTAAAAAGATATCTTAACATATAATGATCTTAACCAAATTGAATTTTTTACGGACTTACAAAAGTATCTCAAAGATACTATTTTTAGGATCAAGTTATTTCAAAGTTCATTGAATTGAGTAGAATAAATAGAGACTTGAACTTTGTATATTACGTTTTCCCAACTTTTTAGGAGGTCTGATCTTTTTATTTGAGCACCAGAAAACATCAAAACATATCCCAAGAGGCCCCCAACTTGTTGATGGAGCTAAAAATCTAACCATTCGCATTTTATCTTTGTTAAAAATTCTTTGTTTCTTCGGGGATATTTGCCCCTCCGTCATTTCGTAGACGTGTCCATTGATGGACATTCCCAAGAAATTGCCCATCACCAAATGTTGTCATTAATGTGTGGCAATCGCGGAATAATTTTGGATTTACTGGGAAATCCCCGCAGAGAACAATTTTGCAATGGCAAGTGCAAATGAGTTTGTCCATTAACGCAACGATATGGCCAGGAAAGGGTTAGGGGATTCCCTGAAAAAAAGTTCCCTTTATCTTACACCGCTAAAATTCCCCAGAAGAAAAACGAACAAAAGTTTTCATAAGTGGGGATTTATCAAATTACTCCCACCCAGGGGATATTTCTCAGGAAGTTTGATTGATTAGAAAGACTTCCATGCAAATGATGACGGAAATAAATAGTTAAAAAAAAACCTTATAACTATAAGAAAAATTCACTGAAGCTTAACTTTTATTGTATTGCCTGAGAATTTGCTATTTAAAAGTTAATTTTTTTCTTTCTTAAATAGGTTGTATTCTCAACATTTCTTAAAACCCGAGTTAATGATGGTAATATTAATATTACTTATAGACATCATTATAAATTTTCAATTAAAAAATGTTCGTAAAAATATTTTCTGGAATCCATTTACAGCTATACAATGGAATATGTTTAATACCCGAGTCTTACAATCGTAATATTAAGCCCATGCTTAATAAAATTTCTATAACACCCAAATAAAACCGAATTAAAGTTGTATTGCCAGCGAAAAAGTTAATGGATCGACTTATAAGTCACTTGGTCAATAAAACAAAAATACGAGCAAATGTTAATATAGTCAAATCCCTTGTCCGAAACCCGTATCCCCGCCATATGTTTGCAAACACCCTTACGTAGTGTGCTTACGTTACGGGACTACGTGAGGAGAGGCATTTAAACCCCTAACATTTACGATATCGAAATAACAGACTGATGTTATGTTAGAAAAGAGAGAGTTCTTGAACTGGAGAGCGGTACTCTGTACCACCACCACCCCACATTAATACACCAACACACACCCCACTTCGTGTCCATATCACCTCGTATATCGCAACGGTGAACCGTTACACCGTTATATTATGCTGGTGGTGGCTATATCACAAACACACCAACACCCTCGCAACACGTTCTCTCGCTCTGTCTTTCTTTCTCTCTCCGGCTAGCTGCGTCTTCTTCTCTCCGTCCGTGGAACCCGTAGAACCCCGAAATGCTCAGTTCGCATCCGACGGATACGATACGGACGAGGACGTCGGGGCTTGATGCTGCGAAAGTTGGATTTCAGAATTCAGTTGCATCTCAGACGTCGCGACGGCAGCACACGCGTCGCTCCCCCACAGAGAAAACTCTGAAGAACATACAGTAGAAAATCACGCAGAGAACGCACATAGAAATCTGAAAAATATCCCAACCAATAACAAACAAACGCGATACTCGCGGCGTTGCCAAAAAAAAGTGTTTCAAATGTTTAAAAGATAAAGATAATAAACCCAAGGCCCTTTGCCCAAATGGCCGCCACACGTGTGTGCTTCATAAGAAATACAAAATAATAATTAAAATAAAAAAACCAGAAGAACCCGCATACAAATCCAAAACCTAAAAAACAAAACTATCCGAATCAAAAGTAAAGCAAAAGTGTTACAATAAGCATTCCAAATGTTGTCCTGTTTGGCGCCGTCGTCTTCACGTTTCGGCCAAGAGGATACCATCATTCAGCAGAGCATGCCATCCACCGCCTTCACCATGCAGTGTAAGTGATCCCCAGTCGATGCGACAGATCATCTCCCCCCATCCGGCGATGATTCATCCAGAATTCGAGTCCATTATCAGCTAGGCAATGCAATTGAACTTTGTTTAAACTGGGTGAATTGTGTGTGTCTGAGTAATTTGCGCGCCAAAGCCCGATCCAAAGATCCAGATCCGAATGCAAACTTGGCAGATTCCCAGAAACAACGCCATTTTGAGCGGGACCAATATGTGTGGTCTTTACCTCAGGGGATCACAAAAAAAAAAAAGAAACTGTAGAAAAACAAAAACACATAAAAAACGAGTAAGGATCGTAGCAGGTTTCAAATTACATACTCCTACGCAGAGAACATGCTTAGGTTCAAAAAAGGAGAGAGAACCAAACAAAGTTTGCCCGATCAGCACACAGAAAGAAATTTCGAAACCCTTTCAAATCATAATTACTAAAATTTTAGCATTAGACTCTTCGTTTAAATATAAAGGTTATATTTTGATCAAAAACTTAGCGATACTTTGAATTAGTATTTGAAATTGTAATAATTATTTTATTTAAAATATCAAGAATCCTCTGACCAATAATGTGATCAGATACATTTATTAACTTCTATAACTTAAAATACTTTCTTCTCAAAGCAAAAAATAATGTTTCAGCAGTTTCGTTAATAACAACCATATCCATTGGTTCTGAATTATACATTTTTCGATTTAAGAAATTTATAATATGGGATTTTTAACAAAATCGCCTTTCTTGGACACGAAATCATCCCATCGATCTTGAATAATGGCATTATATTTTCCCCGCACACGAGAGATATAGCCACCTCTCTTTTTCTCCTATTTGCCAACCAATTGCAGCCACATTTCAATTTGATTTGTTGGCACCGCCGAAACAGAACCGCTGCCTTGGCAATCTCCACCCACCCGAGAACACAGGTAGCTACCCCTAACGAAGAAACCGCATGCGCAGGCAAACAGGTAGAACACCACTTGGCCACCTTTGAGGTCCCACCTCCATTGAAGAACCTGTTTTATGGCCATGTTGTTAGCCAGAAGTCAGAGATCTTTATCGAGTGTAAACAAAGCATAAAACTGTCAGTGGGCAGAGCTCATCGGTTTAAATTGAAGGTGTGAAAGACTGGAAATTAATTGAAAACGCTTAGTGGGGGAAAATTAGGGATGGCGCAAGTTTTTTGTTTTCCAGGGTGGAGCAGATTGTCAACGCCCACGTTTTGCTCCATTCTCCAACTGACAATTGATAAGCCAGCTAAAGAGACGGATTAATTGCACATGTTCGTTTGGAAAAGAAAAAGCGGCAACACCGCAGCCATAAATTATAATTTATGGCTATTTAAGCAGCTCTGTTCTTGTGGGCGAAACTAAAAGCCCTCGAACAAGATAGTTCGGCTAATCGATCAGACGCCGGAGCACAGGTTGGCCCACTTACTTTGCAGATACAAATGTATCTATATACTTTCCGGTTGTATTTCCCTGGCCAACTTGATGGCGCTGGGCAGCTGTGTCTGCGATGGATATTAATCGCCGGCTACATACGAAATTCTGTTCTCTTGGCTTTTTGGAAAAGTCGCGGGGAAAAACGAGGAAAACGCCAGCAACTTGTACTAATTTTCCCGCTGCCTCGGCGTGTGTTGTGTCGCATTTCGAAATGGCTCCAAAATGCCATAAATCAAACATTTCGCCCTGGCGAAAACCTGTCGCCTGTTATCACCTATGGTTACGCCCCTTTTATATATGTTATACATATATATCCACTGTTTATCTTTAGACTGGTGGCCACTAAATCAACGCTAATTTCCACCCATCAAAGTTGTTTAGAATTGAATTTTGTTTTGCCAGAAATTAAACATTTTATCTGACTTTTGCATCTTTGATTGGTCCTTGGAATATGTAGTATTCCCCTGAAATGGGATTTCCTTCGGTCTAATTAATCATTTTGGGCCCTGTCAGTGGATGTCAGTTTTATATGCTGGTGCTGTCGGTGCTGCCATTTATAACTCCTGGCTCATCCTGCATCTTTCACCGCCGACAGGACTTTCTCCACGCCAGCTGGTAATCGAAATTAAACAAACTTGGCCCCAAACTATATGGCAACTGGCATGCAAAGATGATTAATTTTGCCGATGCCTATCTCAAGTGGAGTTCGAGGTACTTGCCTGACTTTCCCCAAAATAAACACTCCTCGGACTTTGCCTTTAAATTGCAATTGAGTCGGGGAAAAAGCTGGGCAGAGAACAAAAAAGAGATCCTCGACAAACACAAAAAGACAATAAATCAATGAGGGGAAAGTCCTCTTTGATATCCTGCTGCAGATTCCCTTTATGCTGTGTTCAACCTGCCGCAGCTTTGGGCAAATTATTTGCCACATTTTACTTTTATTTCGCATTTTGACCAAAAAGTAAATTGTTTGCCAATATTTTTTGCTGCTCCCTTTTTTTTTGTGCTGCTCCTGCCACTGCCGCCGTTGTGCACACAATTGAAACAAAGATAACTTTGAAACAGTTGTAAAGTGAAAATTGCACGGAATGCGCCCGCCTCCTTGGGCTTTCTGCATTTTTTGTGAATATTTTTTCTTATTTATTTAATGCCCGCCGCGCACCACGAGACAACAATTCCCGTGCTACCCCGGTACAGAAAAAAAAGTGCCAAAAAATCGGCGCAAACAAAAGGGTGCAACCGGCCCCAAACCCTCTTACCCCCCCGAAAAAAAGGTGTTGCCAAAGGGCAGGCAAAATTGCAGCGCCAAAAAGGAGGCCCTAAAAATAGGGAGTGAGGCCTCAGCAGGCACAATTTAACATGTAAACGATTTTGGTTAACGGGTAACTGGCATTGAGAAAAACTGGAGTGAAAAGTCCTGGGAAAAGGGGGGAAAAAGGGGCAGAGAGGGGCACTTCCCACTTCCCTTCTGATTGGCGTTCAATTGCAATAAATTTCGCACAATTGCACAATAATTGTTAAAAGTTTTAAATAAACAAAAATAGTCAACAGCTCTATTGTGGTGGCGGCAGCAGAAAAAGTTTCAATTGCATTCGATGGGCTTTATTTCGGAGTTTTTTTTCAAGCCCTCAACGATGGGGCGTAAAATTTATACACGGACCGCGGACGAAGTGAATATCAATTAGCCAAGTTGAGCTGAACTTTGGTTATATTTTCCGAATTAATGAAGTATTTTTCAGATAGTTTAAATAATACTTTTTTGATTTGGTTATAAAGCATTTAAGAATATAGGGTTTTATAACACAAAACATAATACAAACATATCACAATAATATTTGTAACCTGAAGTTTTATGAACACTTAAATGTTATGAAAGCAAAGTCAACAATTATTGATGAATTGCCATTCTTAGAACATAGTCGTTAAAATACTTCAGAGAAAAAGTGTCATATTATTTATTGACCGCTTTAAAAAAATGCAAATTACTGTGCTCCATAAATAGACGAATTTTCAAAGGTTCCTAGAAAATTGTACTATTAAGTTTCATTATATTGTTTAAGTTTGTGTCACAAAAATACTGGAGTTCTTTGGGAATATCGTTTTAAAATGTAAATCAAAGATTTCCATAGAAGTTCCAAGAAATATATTCAAAAATTATTTAACTTTGAAAAAGTATCTTCGGCTTTCCTTGACGGATAAGATGCAAAAGTATCTTATGGATGGCTAGGTTTTTTCTCCTCACTTTGAACACCTCTTTGGCGTATTTCTCTAATTGCATTCTGCTCGCCAACGCATTGCAACTCCAATTTCAAACCGTAAAACACCCACACCCCGACATCACACGCATTTCTGCATATTTTTTCAAGGTAAATCGCAGAAATACTTCGCCCCGGGACACATATGTTTTTCCATTCCCTGCAGATATACCTCCCATATATATATATATATACATATTGGTACAGGGGAAAAAAAAGGACAGGGACACGAACACGGACACGGATCGCTTGGCTATTAAAATTTCACACTCAGCAAAGCAAAATGCTACAAATAAAATAAACGTGGCAGCAGCAACTAGCAACGTGCAACGTGCAACATGCAGCATGCAGCACCAGCACGCAGCATCAGCTTGCTGAACAAACAAATAAAAGCAAAAGGGCAGAAAGGAGAACTCTATTTATAGGATCTCGTCTGGCTCCGAATCTGCACCTTTGCATTTGCCACTTGAAGGGGCACAACGTGGGCACCTTTGTGCCCATTCGAAAAGCGGAGAGTAGACCAGGGCAAAGGTGCCACACAGAGAAAAAAATAGTATAATTTTAGGCCATAGGTTAGGCATTTCTGTGGCTACCATAATAACTTTTAAAAACCAAAATATTGTTTTGCAGAGTTTACTGTATTACTATAATATCATAGCTTCGAAATTTATTTATCATCTAAATTTAAAACTCATTTCCTTTATAATCAATATGATTTTTTATTTTAAAAGTACAACCATGAACAAGGCTAAAATTAGCACTTAGTATTGAACATATATTCAAAATTGTTCCCAGTGCATTAATCTCTAGGTAGGTAGGACTCCGAAAGAGTATTCCAAATTTAGAGCGATTATCGGGACAACTCCATATGCCGCTCACATGTGTGTTTAAAACCGATTGCCACTTGAGATCGGACCCTCCGTAGAATTCCATTTCTCGAAAGAGGGGTTTACACTCGCTTTGCGTTTTGCGCCCATAAACTTTCGCACGTCTGAAATACGAAACAGATCCAAAACAACTGGGACCTGAGCCTTCCCACAGGTTTTGATTTACAAATTAATTGCGGCTGTCTGATAGTGTCGTTTTTCAACTGGCAATTAGCTAGCTCTGTACTAAGTGTTTTTGCACTCGCTCATTTGCAGCCCGTTTTCGATGGGAATTTATATCATAAATATGCTAACCACGTTCATTGACTGCAAATGAGTGCAGGCCCCGGAGGTCTGTTTATAATTAAGTGCTAGAATTTATGTTTATTTGCATTAAATATCATCGAGCCGAGCAACCCCCTCCCCCGTTCCACCAGCAGGCGCCACCTGTCGTCCATTTGTCTGCAACTGCGTCAGCAATTGCTAAACAATTTTTCCGGACCCCAAAGAATTTTCCTCACCTGACGGCTCAACACGGGAAATTGTCGTGACAATCGGCTGTCAGTGAAATATTAAAAACCACTTTGGCCGACTAAAATCGGGGAAAAACTGAGGAAAGTCAGGTGGAAAATTAGAAAGACGGCCGCTGGGCGCATAAATTAAATAATGAAAATATAATTTTCGAAAGCTAGAAAACGGGGAAAGAGAAATAAATAAATTTGCATTAGCCTGGCTTAGTCGAAATATGTCTGGCTAATAAAAGTTGGCAATAAAAAAAGCACATAAAATTAGTGGGTGTATCTTGGGTGTCTTTGCCACAGATACAAATGTATCTTTCGGCACTGTCTTGGATATTTTGCCATTGATTTACGTCGCCTGCCCATCTACGTATTATTTATAATATTTCAACCTCCCCCGGCGCCCACATCCGCCCCCTTTTTCGCTTATTTTCGGTTGCTCGTGTTTTCCACCGCACAGGTGAACCAACAACACAAACAACAGCAAACACTTGACATCGTTCCAGAAGATTTCCCCGAACAGCTGGCTACAATTTAACCCACCTAGATTTTGATTGCTGGCGTTTTTGTTTTGTTTTTGGCAAACGTGTGGCCGCCCATAAATTTCACCAAAAATCGCCCCTTCTAAATCCAAAAAATACAAAAAATTATAATGCCCCCAATCAACATTTTGGCAACTGTCAAAGCAGGAGATTCTTTGCTTTTATTTTAATATCCTTACTTTGTTTAACTTTCTGAAAAGCTGTAATTTACGGTGCCTAATCTTTTGGGGCTTTGATTTAATCGGAGCAGATCCTCATTTTAATCATAAATGTTATAGCTTCTTGATTTCGATAAATTTTTATAAACAGAAACTTTATGGAAACTTGGTATTTTTAATTTATTATATTATATTAAAATTTTCCTTCCTACAACTAATTCTTAAATTCTTTTTCTAGACATTCGATCTTTTATCATGCATATTTTTTCGCCCAAAAATATTTGCAGTTCCTAGCCAATTTATTTAATAGATTAAAAATACCTTTTGCTTTGAACAATTCAAATGTTTTGGGGCTGTCTCCTCCGATTCCTTTGCCCCACACCTAGCACACTATCAATCAACTTCAATTAGTTCGCGTTAGGCGCAAAATAGTTGAAAGCTTTGGGGAGAACTGAACTGAAAGATGAGACCAACATATATAAATACACAAAAAGCGCTCGAGTTCCGCAGAAACAAATACAAGAAATTCCTTTTCATTTCGTTTCGGCTGCGCATAAATTGAAATTAATTTGCGGGACACTTTCAATATTTCAATACCGGCGGGGTGAAAAAATAAAAGTGTAAAAGCGATTGCGTTAATAATTCCTCACTCGAGACGGTTATGAAGAATTGATTGGGCTAAATGAGCTGGTGACACACTTGTTGAGTTTCACGTTTTTCCCCACGAGCAGTTTCCTTTGGGGCATTATGTTGATGAAACAAAATGTAGGGCCATAAAAAAGTGTTGTCGTTTTACAACTTTCAATAAAAATGTCATTAGACAGGCCGAGTGAAATAAATTCTTGGACATGATATTATTAACTCTACGATCTGTAAACTATATACATTCAGAGATACATATATCTACGTGTGTCAGCTGTTGTCCTATAATGGCTTTTAATGGCTTCTTAAATGATAAGGTGGGAGGAATCGTCATCATCATCATCATCATCATCATCTATAATTCCTTTTTGATCGGGGCCCGCATCGAAATCAATTAAGATTGCAACTATTGAAAGTGAAAACGTGCAATGAACTTTCGTAGATTGCGCTTGATTGCACCGACACATCCCTCAGATACAGATACTTCTGGCAGAAAGGTGGCTATGAAACAGGGTTCATTCATTCTGCAGCCCGTATGTGAGTATCAGGGCATCTGTCTTCGTCTGCCGCCAGTTAATTGGCTTAAATTAAGGTAGCGATCAAATGGCAAGAGAGAACAAAGACTCGCTTTGTTGGGCAGGCACTCTATAAGAAAAAACAAACAGAAATCCAGAGAACAGAAAAACTCCATTTTGTGAAGTAAGGTAGAATTCTCAGATACAGATACAAAGTTTCAGAGCGAGAGCGAGAGGGCAATTGAGTGACCCTCGGGGGAACAAAGCAATCTTCTGGGGCCTCTTCCCTCTCTTTCTTCTCTTTATCATCCGTCTCTTTCCTCCCCGCCATGGTTGAACGCTTTTTTCAACTGATTAAGTCAACTCTTCTCTTTCAAGTGTGCGTGTGTTCTTTAATTCTTGGACTCTTTTTTCCGTTTCTGTTTTCTTTTCGGTTTCGTTGGCGGATCGAAAGAAACCATGAGATCATCGTCTCTCCGGATTTCAGCCTTGCGTGAAGGCCTGCGAAGTTGATTTGCCACGAAATTAAGTCGATCCACCAGTCCCCCGAAACACAGAACGAAATGATGGAGAATTATAATTATGTAGCTACGTTTTCATATCATTTGAGCAAACAAATGATTTCAGATTAATTCCGAGAACTTAAGTGTATCTGGGCAGGTTTTATGGATAAATATTTTTTGGAAATTTTGATATAAATAAGTATTTAAAACACTTTATATAACCCCCAAATTTCTCTTTGTGGACTCTGCAGCACCTCAACCATTCGTTCGCCCCACCACACTCCATACTTCTCATTTGGTTTTCAAGTTTCTTTCGCATATTTTATGGTTCTTAAACGATCTGGCAGTTAATTTGTTTTCTCCCCCTCTGCTTCCCCACAGTTCCCTCGCTGGCCTCCACTTTGCTCCACAGCCACAACCAGTCGCCGAAGCACAGCAATCCGGGTTCCAGCGGGATCCAGGACGCCCATCCCAACCAGCCAGGTGCAGCTGCAGATGCCTTTTTGGTCAAGTGCACCCAGTGCCCCAAGCGCTTCACCGAGTTTCACGTGAGTTTCCATAAAAACTTGATATTTGTAACTTAAATAAGCACTGAAAAAAATACAAGTGAATAATAAATCAAGAAGCGCTAACAATTATTTGATTAAATTTCCTAAATTCCTAAAACATAGTTGACAAATTTATTACGCATAACCTATAAACTATTAAATAATATAGAGATTCAATGAGGAGAAACAATTTCGGATTAACGTTACACTTTTTAAAATTGGAAGAAATTCTCATGAAATATTTAAATAGCTTGCACTAAGAACCTGAGCCTTATAAAGTTACTTATACTTTTCAACTGATTAAAAATGCCTTTTAATTACGCATTTTGAATATGAGTAAGACTTTAGTATATATTAAAAGCTTATCAAATCACTTCATTAGTGAAAAACCACTTAAACACATTCAAGGTCCAAAACACTGTATTGTAATATAACTGGAATTTTTTCGTAGGTTGTGAAATTCGCAATCTGTTGAAAAACTCAGTCAGCTTACTCACAGTTGCAAACATTTCATTTAAAGCTTTATAAATAAGAATAAAACAGTAATATCCATTAAATAAAAATATTTTTAAATTGTTTTGTATTTAGTCTCTTAGCGAGCACATTATTAGCGAACATCCCCATGACAAGCTGAACTGCGGAGCTGCTCAGCCGGAAAGCGATGCCGAGGATGAGCAGAGCAACCTGAGCGGTAGCAGTAGGCGGTACGCCAAATCGCCGGCCACCAGCAACAACAACAACAATAACATTAGCAGCAACACCAATGCCAATGGCAATAACCAGTCGATTAACAACAACAACAGTGAGCTGGCCAAGAACCACAATAATACGAACAAAATGTCGCCAATGTGCTCACCTGGCTCGCTGACCCCCGGTGACCTCTTCGCCCAACTGCCACACCCACCACCCCATCTGCCCGCCCACCTGCACGCCCAATTCATGGCCGCCGCCGCCTCCTTGGCCATTCAATCCGCCCGATCCGCCAGTTCGCCCAACCAGCAGCAACAGCATCAGCAACAGTTGCAGCAGCAACACCAGCAACTGCAACACCACCAGCAGCAGCAGCAGCAGCAACAACAGATGGCCCTGCAACTGCTGCCACCTCAGCTGCCTGGTAGCAATAGCAGTGTGGGCAGTAACTCCGCCTACGATCTGGATCTGAGTGCCCCACGATCCACCTCCAGTCCGGGCTCCACAACTGGGGATCTGAATGGCGCCTATCCCTGCATGCAGTGCACCGCATCCTTCGCCAGTCGGGAGCAACTCGAACAGCACGAGCAACTCCACTCGCCCTGCGGACAAACATCGGTTACTAATGTCTCCCAGGTGAGTTTTAATACTGTTAATTGTGTACCCATTAATAATAAGTAATGCTAATAACTTCATTTGGGTTTGAAAACATTTTAAGAAGTAGGTTTTTCCAACTTTTAATACAAATTAGCCTCGAAAAACAATCCAAATGGATACTTTGAATATTCCCAACTAAATATTTCCAAGAAACACCTAGTCATAAGTCATAATAAAAATAATATTATTTGTGGAAGTCCCGCCATAAAACTTCTCTCCCAAAGACAATCAGCACAAAAACCTTTGTCACCAGTGACTAAACCTGAATAATGAGGATAAAGATTCCTGGAATAGCTGATAAGCAGAGTTATTTTTTCTCCTTTCTGTTTAAGTCTTACGTTTTAAGGTTCTTGGATTGTTACTCATGAATTATCAGACTCCGACTTGGAAAAAAAAATAAAAAATGGTGGGGGGGAGGAGGTCGGTACTTGGGGGGCACTTGATCTTTGAACACATCACGGCGCTTACAATGCGTGGGCTTTGTTCGCGGCTAACGGGAAATGAGCCACCGATAACGAGGCAGCGGTGCCAAGTACAGAATCCAATCCAATCCTATCCCATCCGAAAGTCTCCAGATCCCAGGCAAACCTTATACATATTTCCTGTTGACAAATTGCGCAAAAGCACAAAAGGAAATACATTAAGATATATTTAAATTTGGTTTTTTTTAATTATGTTTGATTACAATATCAAATTTGTTTTTGCTTGAGTTCGAGGAAGAGCCAGAAGTTTAAAAATTTTAATGTCATTCGGTTTTAATTTATTTTATTAATTTAAATTAAAACGAATGAAATAGTTCGATCATTATTTAATACAATTTTTTCCTGTGCAGGCGTCTAATTTTTTTTTAAGAAACGTTTAAGAAACTGACTTTATTTTTATCGCCTAGTGCCTGCCTGCATTCGACATTCGTTTTATCGGTAGGAAACAACAACACCAGCGGTACAACTATGATAAGAGGCATAAAAATAAAACGTAGGCGTTCACCGAACTAAAGGAAAAATAGTAAAAACAAAAATTCCCCAATGACGGCGACCGAGAAAAACAATTGGGGGTGTTATCAGAAAGGGGCCATATAAAAAAAAACGTATATAAAAATATGGGGGGAGACTGTCAGTCACACGCTCATAACTCCCAATTGTGCAGTTGTTGTTTCTTATTTTTTTCTAAGGCCTGCCATTGTGATAAGGCATTAAAATAAATGTTGCTACAGGCAAGTAGAACCTGATAACACCTAACCACACGCCTCCGCCCACTTGTTTTTTCTTCTCGGCTCCGTTTTTCTTGTCCTTCGTCGTCATCTTTTACCATATATGGTAGGCTGTAAAAAAGAGAAGAAAACCCAGGCCTGCTTCAGACGTCACACACGCGATAAGGAGAAAGTCAGGATGGGCCAGGGGTCTAAGGGAAAAATGAGGGACAACAGAGTCCACAGACAGGTTCACCTTGGAGCTACCCAGCGGCTATTAAAGCCACATAAATTATAATTTTGTTGCAATCCCCCAATACACCAAACCGCCCCCAACCAAAACTTTTCTCCAACTCCCTCCGTTGGTCATAAATTCATATGGCTAGTTTGTTGTTGTTTTTGGTATATGATGTGTTTTTTTTGGGGGGGGCACATCTTTTACCTTCCCTATATATGAGCACAAGTGAAATGAAAAAGTTTGACACCACCCCGAAAAAAAATACGATATGAGATTTCTGATTTTTTCGGGAAACAGTGGAGCAAAATTATTTGAGAGGTAAAATTTAAGTTGAGCACCAATATTTTAAGTACAATAATATCTTTTAAGGTCAATAAATAGGTTTTCTTTGCATTGACATTTTTTGATACTTTATTTCATATCTTTAGAGCAAACAAAATAAAATCATACCTATTATTTTGTTAACTATTTTCCCATTGACAGCCACTGTACAAGCTCGCTCCTTTTACTTGTTTTTGAATTTTTGCAGGACTGCTGTCCGTTATTAATATTTACCTAAGCTGCAATGATGGCCAGCCTGGCAAAAAGCTAATAAAGTTGGCCAAACTCGAGTGTTGAAGAGCAGGTTTATGAGTTGCAAGTTGCAACTCTTTTTTTATACCTTTTCCCGCCTTCACCCCATTCGCCCACTTTTGGTTGCATATAATTTACGGCTTTGTTAATGACATTTAAACATTTAAACACATGCGAAAAGGCCAAAATGGCAACAGCCACATTGACACATGGCCAAATAGGCAAACTACACGCCCCGAAACTCCGTACGAACAAACCAATTATAATTGATGTGGCACATTGCATTTATTTAATATTGTTGGCCAATGGCTTTACACGTGTTCGCCGTATTAAATTATTATGTGTGAAAACAATTAATTATGCGGCAAACAAAAACAGTGCCAGAAATAACAATAATGCCGCCGTCGTCAGTGAGACAAATGGCTCATTATGGAAATCAGGCTGTCGACTCACAAAAGTAGGCAACAAAATGCATTTTTTCCCCATTTTATTGAAAAGGCATTAAAATGGGGGAAAAAGGGGGATATCAATCCGTATTGGTGGCCAACATTGTTGATGCAACATTTAACATTTGTTGTTAAGGTCAACATCATTAACCGGGGAACGAGTCAAAAAAGGGGCAGACGGTCGAGCAAATGGCAGGCCATAAATTATGGTCGAAAAAAAAAAAAGAAAAAGCACAGAGGTCCTGGCCAACTTTCAGCAGAAAAAGTGCAGCAATTAAATATTTGCTTAACTACAAACGCACATGGCTGCAACTTTTTGGCCACAACTCATTTGGTGGGTTGGCTTTCTGCTTTTCCACTTCCGGTTGCCACCTTTTTGGCCGCCACAAAATGGAGCAGGGCAGACAATTCAAATTGAAAAATTATATGCACTTTAGGTGTAGTCCTGCGAATCCTGCGAGTCCGCAACCACATGGGTCGTCGTCTTTTCGGCGCCGCTTGACGAACCGAGCGAGTGAAAAATTAATAGCAATTTATTTCACGCCCCTTTCTCTCAGCCCTTTTTCTACCCACTTTTAAATGTATTTTTATGTATTTCTGCGGACACTGTAAGGTCAAAGGTGACGGGGAGCGGGTATTTACTGCTGCTAAAAGTTTCAAAATTATTCGCAATTAAAGCAAACAAATTAAAAAACTTTCTCAACGCGGCGATTTAAACGAAATGTAGTTACAATTTATTGTTAGTGGCTTTTAAATGATATATAAATCATTATAATTAGTTGGAAATTGAATAAGTAAGGTACAAACATATAAACCCAATTTTACCAACACAAATTAAATAATGCCTTTTGAATAATTTTCAAATGACTTTAATTAGTTGACAAAAAATAATTAATGCTCTCAATATTGAAGTATCTCCATTTCCACTTTCGGTTTTTAAGAAAAAACCCCTGTCATAAGATCATTTTTTATCATTGGGAGTTCCTGTTTCCTTGAGGATATCCCCTCCTGGGTTTCCCTAGATTTTCTCCAGTTTTCACCTGCACTTTCCACATGTCAGCCGCCCGACTATAATTTAAACTTCTTGTTCCTTGCCTTCGGTTTTCTTTCATTTTTACTTACTTACTCCTGAGATTTATATCAACTTTCACCGTGAGGGCCATAAATTATGTGGCTCCGCTTGTGGCGCAGTTTCTCACATGGAAATTCCTCAGACGATTTCCCCCTCCGACTGCTCAGTATTTTCTTCGCTGCAAGTCCCGTGGGTTTTTTCACTTGTGACGTTTATTGTGCGGTTGTTACTTGATACGTTTAATGAGAAATGCTCTGCTGCGAAGGGAGAAAGGGAATTGAAAAGTATACAGTACTATAGCACTTGACATTTCATTGGACAGTCCGATTGTGAGAAGAGATTGCACTTGAAGATGGCATCCTGAGAAAAGTTTCTGGATAAACTACAGATTGCACTTCTAAATGGTTTTTATGGAAATTCTTAAAAGGGTTGAAGATTTAAGCAGACTGTAGTTGAAAATGACTTTCCAAGATTAATATAATTACTCCAGCTTAGAACAAAAATACTTTTTAATTCCAATAAAAAAAAGGTTAAAGAAAACGGAAATTCGTAATAAAAACCACGCTTCATATTTAATGATTTAATGATTCAAGGCTAATAATAAATTAATTGAATTTCCTGAGACATTCAATGATAACACTTCCAGCTAAAAAAAAATGGCGAATTAAACTGACACCAAGCTTTATTCAAAATTAAAAAAAAAACAATCAATTATTTCTCTGATAAGACAACCAAGAAATTCCCCAATTTCACTGAAACAAGTTTAATAGAAAATTTAATGGTAAATAGAATTAAAAATAGTATCTGCCTGAGCCAAAAATCTTAATTTTCCACGACACGTTTCTTAATTTCCCAAGACTCGGGCTTTTATAAAAAGTGATAAATTTAATTTATACCGCGGGGTCGCCTAATTTATGTTTTCCTAATACGTAACTAATTTCGCAGGTCTCTTGTCGGCGGGAAAATTCAGGGCATCATCATCATTGAGAAAAACGTTTTATTTATAAACAATTAAATTTGATTTGTCGCTGCGTTGGCGAATGAAAATCGAAAACGAAACAGAAACAGAATTTTAACCAAAGTTTTCCCGGGGCCCGCGATGAACTCGAGATGATTTATGGAAATTTAATAATTTTAAATCCCAACGCTGCTGCAGATAATTTTTGTCGTCTGCACAAAGCGAACTGGCCATAAAATATTGAGAAATGCGGCAGCAAAGTGACCGCAATGGCTAAAAGTATTTCCCTGTTAACTGCGCGTGTTAATCAATTTCCCAATGGAATTATTGCAGAGATGATCGCGCCGAGGAAAGTTAATGAACCCAGCCAGCAATACGTAATAAATTCACTTATTGTTCCAGCGCAATAATAATAAATTAACCGATCTGAAGTTGGTGCTGAGCCTCCGTACAATCAGGTCTTTATTCCCAGGCGCGATTTGTGGTGATAACCCCGGTAATCTTTTTCGATTCCACAAGGTACTACAATTAGTTCTCTCTCCGTCTCCGTTGAAAGGTACGTCAATGGCCCGACTTGGGGATTCATTCATTTGAAACCCCAATCACTCGTATTCCACATTTTTTCAGCTCTATTTTCCCGTGCGTCGGCAGCTGCGATGCGATAAGCTAAAAAATTGGGTCGCGATTTCGCTATAAGGCAGTTAGATTTCAGACATCATTATGCTCGTCGTATATTTCACTCGCATTCTCTCTTTCGTTTCATCTTTTTGCGCTAAACATTTCTTTGTGGCGTCGTTAATATTTTTTTTTTCCTGACCTCAAAAAGAATCACATAGAATTAAACAAAAACAGAAGCAGAAAACTTTGAGCTTGTCGCTTGTTGTTATTTTTGTTTACGCATTTCGTCAGGCGACAGGTGCGCCTCTATATCTATTAGATACTATGTAGACAAGTCTGTGTGGACAAAACACATACAGTCCATTTCAAAACATATAGGTTCTTATATGTCTTCCTATTAAATCAATGATTTATTTTATAAAATAAAGAACTTATCGAATTGATTGTGTAAACTACAATTTATATCGATAAAAGGTTTACTTTAAAATAGAGGCAACAGAGTTTTGGATATTTTGTAAATCGTATAACTATGATTTCAGAAATAAGAGTTTGTATAATTCAAACTATATGGAAAAAGTGATCTCACTTTTGAAAGATAATTTTGCAAACAAGCTTCTCTCAGTAGCTATACGTTTTCGAACCCCACTGTATCCATACATAGTATTCCCCCACCTCGACATCTTTTGGTATTTTGTCAGTATTGTTTGCTTGCCTTTGGGGTTGACACTTTGAAAGCCGAACGATCTCCCTTTGGTCGATCATCATTTACGGCCAATTATGCGCGCTATTATGGCCAAATTCCCATGTCACTCACTGCATAAAGCATTTCTTCAGCCAGCAATCGTGAAATACGTTCACAAATTAGCTCTCTGTCTGCGACAAGACATTATCTTTGATTTGTCTATTGCTGGGGCTTGGGCATTTTTGGCCTGGCCCAAACGGGCGCCCACCTACGATGCGTTATAATTATAGCCAAAAGGCTTGTCGCCTACAATTAACCAGGCTGAAATGCAAACCGCTGGACCATCCGCACATGCGATGCCCAGTACAATTAAACTTGACGAGCGCTTTGAAGACAAAATGCCGCTGTGTGTGGTCGCTAGTTTCCGGTTCGAGTTTTAGGAATTCAGGAAACTGATAAGTTGGTTGATAAGCGCCCAGCATCCCGCCGCCTTTACCAATATTTGTAATATTTATTTTTGTATTCACCTGAACGAGGTTATCTGTAGTTAAAAGAGATAGACAGTGGTTAATCCGTAGGTCCCATTCCAGTTCGCGACCCTGATCTGCTTTGTTTACGAGCACACGCGCCTCTTTTGAATCGAGCAAGTAGATAGTGCGCTCTTATCAGTGCTCTGAAATTCCCCGAATATTGATGGAACTGTTGAAAGATTTGAAAAATAGTGTGGAAAAATAGTGCAAAATGGCTAGGCATAAAAACAATAGTTTAGAAATACGTAAATAATTTTAGATTTATTACAAACTTTCCTAAATTTAATATTTATAATTGGAACAATTGGTGAGAATCCGGTCCGAGGGACCAAACATGGGGCAAAACATAGTTTTAAACTCAACTATGTTTTGCCCCATAAGCTTTATAGTTTTTTCTTGTGTATTCTTCCCCATTGCTTTATCCTCTTACATTTTGAACAGTTCAGATGAAACTATATTAATTAAGCATCTAGCAACATGTGATGAAGAAGGGAGGCGAGTGGATCAGACGGGCGTAGTACGCACGTATGCATGGCTTATCAAGACTAATGCCACAGAGGTTAGACTGTACCTTGAACACTCGAGTGGTTTTGGCTTCCATTTCCATGTGCGCGGCCCATTCGTTTAGTAAAATCAATCAATTTTCAACTTTTGCTCGAGTGGCTCCCCTGAAAAACACTTGAGTCATGCACACAGTCCGTCCGTTTCTCCATAAGTCCATCCATCCATCCATCAGTCCATCAGTTAACCCCCGGGGTCGGGCATCTTCATGGGGCTTTGTTAAAGGTAGCTTCAATTGGCATTTCCGCTCACCGCAAATATAATAATAACAAACTGTAACAACAAAAGCGCATAAGAAGAATCCGGCTGACGCATCATAAATGGAACTTACCTTTTGTAAACGTGTGCACTATAGGTATATATAAAGTATCTGTACATAGTATCTGTGTGAGTGGTGTAGTCTCTGGCGTATCTCACGGCTGCCATTTTCATTTTCATTTCGTTTGCGCTGCGCCTCGTTTTACATTTAATTGATAACGCCGACGACAACAAAGCCCGTTCATTGTGGAGCTGCGGTTTAACGTCCGCTCTGGGAGGTGTGTACAGTGGGTCTTCGATAGTTGCATCTGGTGGATATTATAGGTCTGATTTTTCATCCCTAATGAGTACTAACGAGTTACCACTGTACTATTTCTGGGTTCTGTGGCTCTACGATTTCTAGGTAGGCGTATGCGGTTTACAACCGAACAACCTGATTAAGAGCGTTAGAGAGGGACGGAGATAGCCTGACTCCACGATGGCTTCAGAGATAACGGGTTTCTCGTGTAAGTGTGTGCGTGTGGGAGTGAGCCAACAGGTGGCCATTATGCAGCTTTGTATGTATTTATTGCACTCTCTCACCTGGCGAACAAATGGCCGTCGAAAAATGGGGTTTATACTTAGCGACGGTAATTCGGGGATGACGTCACAGGTGCAATAACAACGGAAACGGAAATTGTTATTGCTGTCGAAATGAAAAACGAAATGAGGGGAAAAGCATTTTCCGTTTGTTTTTTACCAGCAGCACAAACAAATTAGGAGGCCCGCGCTATAAATGTATTATTTTTCCCCAACACGCTTAAAACAATAAACACCGTGTCACGTTGGCGAACAAAGTAATTACAATACATAATAATAGTTTTGGAGTGATCTCATCTCGAGTGTGGGTAAATTGGGTATGCGTTGATGATAATGACTAATGGCGCAAAGCGCGTTAATTGAAACTCATAAGTAACTGTAACCTTAAATGAGGAGTCAAAGTCCAAGTACAGTGGAACCTAAATGTACATACATACATTTAATTCCGATAACGATAGAAAATGTCATTAACTTTGCAACAATAACAACTGGAAAATGGTGGAAGCGAAGGTGAAACAGCAATAAATGGAAAGTTCAATGGCTGAGCGGTAAACAACCCACTCGATAGAAAGTAATGGGGCGAGGGGAGCGAGAGTGTGGGAGGGGGACAACAACACGTGTTTCCATCTGTCCGCCAAAGTACCGCAAATCTTTCAACGCAGCCGCCAAGTGGAAAAGTGGAAGACGGGAAAGCGGGAAATGTGGCGCTGCACTTTCGTTTTCATTTCCATTTCCACCTTTAGGCAACAACAAAAAGCGCCTGCATTTGATGAGTTCAATTTGTTGCCAAACAAATCAAAGCACAAACAAAACGCCCCCCAAAATTTGATTAGCATCAGCTGTTGAAACATTTTGATGTGATGCGCCCTATTGCATTTGGTTTTGTTTATTTTAGGTCGTTTTGTTGATTTGTTTTTTGTGTCGCAATTTTTCAATTGAAGTTTAATTTTTATTGGAAGGCGCACAGCTGAGTGCAGCTTTCTCTCTTTCTCTCTCGCTCTCTCTGTGGGGTCATTTTGTGTGCTCTTCTCACCTTTTGTTGTTGTTATTTATTGTCACTCCACCTTCACTGGAAGTCGCGCTATCTCTTTTCCGCCCACCGCGTTCTTTTTTCTCATCTTCGTCATTTCATTCTTCGCGTTTGTTCGTGCTGTGCGCGTTTCGCTTCGCGCATCTTTTAATTGTAGTTTTAATTGAAGTTTCTGCGTATTTTCATTCGAAATCATTTGCACAATTCACTAAATATCAAAACATCACAAAATATTCACTTTTACGATTCGGAAACACACAAGAAACAAAAAAAATGGCCCGTTTTCGGCGCGCGCTTTTGATTTGGCTTTGTGGTCGCTTTTCTTGCCTTGAAACAAATTAGAAAGCCATTAAATTTAAAACAAATAAATACGCGTGTTGTTTTAAACAGTTTTTATTACCTGTGCGTTGGTGTTCCGTTTTTCTTTATTTTTCGCTCTGCGTGGACCCAAAATACAGCAACAACTAATACTACAATGTCAGCTGCTGCTTTTCTGGTTTCTTCCTCTTCGTTGGAAAAGGTAACCGGCAAAGCAAATGATCGTAGAATGAGTGGCGTGGGTAGCAAAGCTGCAAAACTAGAGATGGTAGTTTGGACTAAAATCTATCGGTTTTGTAAGGCAATAAAAAGTTTTAATAATATTTTTGCGATATTTATCACTTTTACGTATACTTAAAATGTTTTCAACCTTTTTTCTAAATTTACTAAGTCTTATTCAATTTAAGCACCTACTATAATAACTTCTTTCTGTTTCTTTTTTAGACCTGCCGAATTTGCCACAAGGCGTTTGCGAATGTCTACCGCCTGCAGAGGCACATGATCAGTCACGACGAGAGCGTGCTCCTGCGGAAATTCAAATGCAAGGAGTGCGAGAAGGCCTTCAAGTTCAAGCACCACCTCAAGGAGCACGTGAGGATCCATTCCGGCGAGAAGCCTTTCGGATGCGACAATTGCGGCAAGAGGTTCTCGCACTCTGGCAGCTTTTCCTCGCACATGACCTCGAAGAAGTGCATCAGCATGGGGCTTAAGTTGAACAACAATCGTGCTTTAATGAAGAGACTAGAAAAAAGTCCGGGCTCTGGATCTACGGGATCCCGTCGATCTCCCTCAGATCACGGAAAGGGAAAACTGTCGGAGCAGCAGCCAACGCTGCCGGGATTGCCCCATCCTCTGAGCTATTTCGCCAGCGATGCCCAGGCACAAGGTGGAAATGCGGCACCGACGCCCTTCCAACATTTCAACCCCACCAACTACATGAACGCGGCCCTTCTGGCTTTTCCTCATAACTTTATGGCTGCTGCAGCTAGCTTGAATCCCCAAGTTCATCCTTACAGCATTCAGAGATTGCTGCAACTATCGGCTGCGGGTCAGCAGCATAGGGAGGAGGAGCCAGAGCACCAGCATCAGCAGCAGGAGGAGGAGGAGATCCACGATGAACCCAAACTGGTGATGGATATCGAAGAGCCCGAGGCAAAAGAAAGGGTTCCCACACCTGAAGCCGCTGAAGAAGCAACTTCCATTAAGCGGGAAGCCAGCAGGGAAGCTTCGCCAGCTCCAGAAAGTTACCTAACATCCCCACAAGCGATCAAACAGGAACAGGAGCACCTAAATGTGGCAGAAGAAGTCCAATCTCCCGAGGAAGAACCGCCTCAAGTAGAGCAACCCGCAGATCTGCGCTGCAGTCGCTGCTCCAAACAGTTTAATCATCCAACAGAGTTGGTGCAACACGAAAAGGTCCTTTGTGGCTTGATTAAGGAGGAGTTGGAGCAACATTTCCAGCAGCAACAACAGGGCAATTCTTTTAACCTGGCCTCTGCCAGCGAAGAAGATGAGGAAGACGAGGACATGGAGGAGGAGCCCCGGCAGGAAAGTGGCGAAAGGAAAGTCCGTGTGCGAACGGCCATTAATGAAGAGCAGCAGCAGCAGTTGAAGCAGCACTACTCCCTGAATTCCCGACCCAGCCGAGATGAGTTCAGAATGATTGCCTCCCGTCTCCAGTTGGATCCGCGTGTGGTTCAAGTCTGGTTCCAGAACAATCGCTCCAGGGAGCGAAAGATGCAAAGTTTCCAGAGCAATCAAGCCGCCACTCCAGTGACTAATGAATCGCAAACATCTCTAACCCGGGAGGATCAACCTTTGGATTTGTCTGTGAAAAGGGATCCATTAACACCCAAAAGTGAGAGCTCACCACCTTATATGGCTCCCGCATCGGGAGAACCCTTAAATCCCGAAGCCATTAATCTGAGCAGGAAATTCTCCCCATCCGCATCGATGTCCCCAGCCTCGATTTCACCGTCATCCGCGGCAGCCTTGTACTTTGGAGCTGTACCGCCGCCTTCGCCACCAAATAGCCAACTGGAGGTAACTCCTCGAAGTGGTCAGGCCTTTCCGGGTTTACCCTACATGCTGCCTATGCCGCTACCCATGGAGGCGCTGTTTAAAATGCGTCCGGGTGGAGAGTACGTCCCTAACCATCCCCTGATGAACAGTATTAAGATGCCCGATTACCGGGGCACCAGTTTGAGTCCCGGAGGATCGGAGAAGCGATCGTGGCGTGACGATGACTCGCGCATCTCGCACGAGGACGAGTTTGGAGGCCTGATGCCACCGAAACCCAAGAGGGGCAAGGCGGAGACCCATGGTCATGCGGGCGATCCCGATCTGCCCTACGTTTGCGATCAGTGCGAAAAGGCCTTCGCCAAGCAGAGCTCCCTGGCACGCCATAAATACGAGCATTCCGGTAAGTAAACTTAGATCGTACACGGTTAAAGCCTGTACTAACTATTGGTTTATCCTCGTTTTCAACAGGTCAACGACCCTACCAGTGCATGGACTGCCCCAAGGCCTTCAAGCACAAGCATCACCTCACGGAGCACAAGCGCCTGCATAGCGGCGAGAAGCCCTTCCAGTGCTCCAAGTGCCTGAAACGATTCTCGCACTCGGGCAGCTACAGCCAGCACATGAACCACCGGTATTCCTACTGCAAGCCCTACAGGGAATAGGTAAGCGACACCTCAGTGCCGCCCACCTGCCAAACAGGAGCAACAGTTCCCTCCCAACCGCCGGCGACGATGGCCAACAATCGTGGGCGTCGTCGAGTTCAGGTTCCGACGGGGAATCCGACTTATCCGCCGCATCATCAGCATCCCCACCATCCACATTTGGCGGCCATGGCCGCCTTTCAGCAGCAGCAGCATCAACATCATAGACTCCCCTGGAACGGAGCTGGGGTGATGCTACCGCCGCCCAATCAACAGCAACATCGTCCGCCGGCTCCACATCCGCCCCCTTTACTTTCGGGAGCGGCATTTGGTCAGCCTCCGTCGGCGCAGTTCTTTCACCATCATTCGGGATTGCTGCCTCCACCGCCGCCACCTATGCCGCAGACCACGCCCTCGTCCACGCCCGCCTTCGACTTCTTCAATGCCAAAATGTTTCCAAATTAAGCTAAGCCAGCACTTACAGGCTGTACTTAAAAAAACAGACGAACAGAAAATCTCAAAATGTGCAGGAACACACCGAACAGCAACACCCCCAAAAAATGCACTTTAGACAGAGTCAGTGTCAAAAAGCAAGAGAGAAATATTTTTTATAGCCATATAACCAGGAAAAGAGAAGCCGTAGTTTAAAAAAACTTTCGTATGAGCGAATTTATTATTTTTACAATGTTGCAACCACTTTGTTTTTAGTATTTTATTAATTTACCTTTACCGCCTAAGTTCGAGAAAAGGGCAAAATATTTTTGTTTGGTCCCGACTCATTTGAAGATATCGTTTTATCTATTTTTTTATTCATTAATGTTTTAGTTACTAGTTTTAGGAGCTGGAGAAACCAGTACCAAGTGCTGCAGAATACTCAAAACTCAAATCGTTAAGAGCCCACTCCTAAATGGAATAAATGTATATTATATACGATTATGTATTCTTTTAAGTTGTAACTTTTAGTTTCGGTTAAGCGTTTCGAGCCGATGCAAAGCAGCTCGAAAGGAATTTTCCACCCACAACCTCCGGACCAAAACAGAAATGCAAAGAAAACCAAGAAAATACTAGCAGACAATACCGAGACAGACCAGAGATACAAAAGTATTAAGCAGCGAAACTGTATTAAAGCCACCACATTGTAAAGTCCACGCCTACACCGCCCCCCATTCGTATATAGTTTATGTTAAATGGAAAACCCACCGCTTGCCGCGCGTTTCAAGCTCTCTTACTTAAGGAAAAAATCCCCCAACAATCTTTCTCGAACTACGCTTTAAATTTCCCTTTTTAAAACCCATTCGCGAAATGAGCACAAAACAACCTACAAGATCATTCCATTTGGCCAGAGCCGCGCCCCAAAATAAAAGGTGCAACTCATGCATTTAAGGCCTCCGGCTGCCGCTTGCCACTCGTCGACAACCCACTAAATCTAATGCTAAACTAAAACTAATGCTAACTAATATTTAATATATACGAAACGAAAACAAAAACTTAATTTGGCCTTATTAAAGATTATTTAACGATTAAAAAACGTTTCAGAATATTCAAAAAAAAAAATACTAGCATGTAAAATTTAAACGAAAACCTTTGGAAAAGTCTCGCGAAAAATCTATTAGCAAAATTCCATGTGCGTATTAAATGTAAAAATCAAAAAACGGAAAAACCAAAGACCCTATTAACTATCGAAATGTTTGCCATGACAATAAATTTATGACTAAATAATTGATAATGCTTTCGATTTCTGCGCTAGCCAAAAAACCAAAGAATCAAGTCAACTTTCAATTAAAATTGTTTTTTACTCAGCCACAAACTATAATTAGTTAGAAAACAAACAACAAGGTTTCCAGAACAACGAACATTTCTTTTTTGATGTTTAACTTGTCCAAGGAATTTTCGCCCATGATTTTTTTGCTTTTCCATACACAAAAAAAATCGAGAACAACAACTCACAAAAAAATGCATTTAATACTTAATTAATTTTTATATATTTGTATTTTTAATGAAAAGGAGAAAGGATTGCATGGTCGATCATAAGTATATATGTGTAAATACATATATTTTTTGTAAATTATTTCGCAAGAACAAAAGCTAGAGAATCCAAAACCAAAACAACGCAAACTGTTATACTCGAGTTGAAATTCTTCCGATTTCAAATACAGCCAGCACACGTTAGCATAAATTTAACAATAATTACTATTACAACCGTAAATACTTAGCCTAGTTAAAAAAAACCCTTAACAACAACAGAATGTTAACTTAAACACTAAAAAAAAGAAACACTTATTTTTAAGCGCAAATACTATGTGGTTTGTGATGGATATTTGCACTCTAGGGCCTTATATGAAATACACTACACTACATAACACTCACGTACATAAACATAAACAATTGTTAGTTATTTAAATACGATACACACACTTAATTGGAGGACGATCGTTTTAATGTGTTCCAAACTCCGAAACTCCATCTTCTCTATTGTCCTACTCCCAAACTCTCTGTTAAAGTTGTTCACCTCACTATATGTGTAAATATGCGGAGCAGGAATTACAGTATACTTGTATTATTTGTTTAATTTTTTATGTCCAACAATAGCGATCCCTAAGTTAAGTACCTCGTTGAAACGGCATCAAATGTTAATTTTATTGCTCGACAGAGAACACCAAAAAACCGCTAAAAACATCCGAAACAAGTAACCAAAAAATATTGAGAGAAGAATGAGAACGATTCAAGTAACTTATATTTCAAATATTACGCATAAATGTATTTTAATCAAAGTAAGCCAAACGATTCAATGGATAAAAACGCATTCATATAAATGAATAAAACCTTTTTGTCTTGATAAATTGACAAAACAATTATTATAATTATTAAATTTACAATGTGAAAATAATAAAAAAAATGAAATTATTAAAATTTAAATGCAACGATTTATTATTAAAGGGAGTGGTTTTGGTAAAGGACTTAAAGGGCTTTCTACACGGCGTGTACTGAAGATGAATTTCAAATATTCCCGCCAATTAATTAAAAGTATGACCTTGAGTCAGTTCATGATATTGGAATCGACGGTAAAAACTACAACAATCGATACATTTTTATCGAATATATATTCGATTGCTTCCATCTCTAACCGCGCAATTTCAAATACAAATTACTAAGTAAGAGCAGGAATTCTTCCGAATTCAGAATAATTACCAAGCAAACAAAATAATGTTCAAATTGAACCATTTTGTATAGCACTTAATAGTATTTTCAATCGACCAATTAAAAATAAAGCAATAGTAAATAAAACCAATAACTTCCATTTATAAAACACATTCTGGACGCCTTGTATAAATTTTCTTTTCCATTTATTAATTTGCTTTAGTAAACTTATTGGCCAAGGCACACAGAGTTGGTTTGTATTTTCCTTCAATTAGCTCGAACTCTTCTCACATTTAAAATAGGTTCAATTTATATATATTTAGATAGTTATATATATATTCATAATAAAAACACACGCACATACAAACTGAAGCTAATTAAATAGAAAAACAAATCGTTTCCGCTTTAGCATTTTCCAACGAACCTACGGAAAACAAAAAAATTGATGTATTCTCGCTTTAGTGTTAGGCATTAAACTAGATTATGGTTAGCAGTGTCTATAAACTAAAAAACATCTTAGGGCGCTACACAACTTTAGCATAAATTACAATTAACGTTTTTCTTTACAATATTACATTAAAAAGATTACAATTTTCTTAGCTCTCCTTCGTAATGTTTTTGTGTTTTATGTTTGCTATCAGAGAAGATGTGTTGAATTTTTCTCCCATTTTTTGCGTGGGGCTAAACAATTTGATTTGGCATTCAACAAGTTGGTCTAACTTTGCTAGATATTTTCACATAGGTATCTCTAAGTTTGTTCTTTTTGGGGGGAGGACACACGTTTGAAGACTTCTGCGATGAGCAGTGATATATGGATGGGTAGAAAGGCACAGAGTTGAGTCCTGTTCCTCTAGATTAGATTTAGATTAGGCTTATAAGACCCGCTTATATCGCTGCCGTGCGACTTTTGGTCTCCGTTTCTCCATCGCACACCTCGCAATCTCATTTCTGAATGGGAAGTCGTGTGGATGGCCGGGATTAACCAGCCTGCTGAATTGAAATCCGGCCATCGATTGGAGGTGGGAAAAGGAAAGGAGTGATTTCTGGGCGCTTGGGTAAATTCGCGTTCTCGTCTCGTTTTAAGGCATTTTGTTTTGCTTTGAGCACCAGAAATGCTCGATTTTCCAGTTGGTCCCTTCGCTTTCTAACAATTTAAATATTTATGGTTATAGCGTTTGTTTTGGAGTAGTATAGAAGGATATTACTATATTCAGTTAAAAGTCCAAGTCCCGACTCGCTCTTCTTTTTTCATCTATTCTGTTTCGTTTTAAATTTATTCAGTTCATGCCTGCAGGCATATATATATATTTGTATGTTTATGTATAGTTCCCTTCGCTACTTTCTCCTATAATTTATATAATATATATAGTTCCATTCTATAGTCACGCACTCTTTACAAAAACCCACTCGACAATTTCTCTCCCCTTTGTGACTATTTGACTAACAATGATTTTTTTGGGGGTGGGATAGGTGATTTTTAGGGGTACTCAGACGTAAACCGGCGCCTGATCATCCGTCATATCCGGTGGCTGCTTATCGTCAAAGAATCGTCTAAAGGTAAATTCGAAAAATCCGTGGAAAGGCCGATCGTTTAGGTCGATATCATCGCCACTGCTCATGTTGGAGTCATTCGAGCGCAGCTTTTCCGGATCCACGGGATCGAAGTTGGACGTGTCCGTTGGGTGTTTGATTTCCGGGATGTAGGGCGCCTTCTGCTTCCGCATGTCCGCAAAGTCGATGCCCTTGAAGAAGTCATGCCCCTTAACCTCATCCACGCTTTTCCCCAGCCGCTTGTCCGCCGCCGCGCAAAGTCTCCGTATCAAATCGGTGGCATCCCGCGATAACTCGGCTTGTGGCGGGATATGCAGAGTTTTCTCCCAGTTTATTACCTACAAGAAACCAAAAATTATTATCCTTGAAAATCCAATTTTATAGAGAAAAGTAATTAATAGACGACGTGTTTAATGTTCTTTAAAAGATCCAATAGACTATTGTGACAATTTAGGGTTGAATAATGGCCTTTTGTATTTTTTTAAATTTTACTGTGTAATATCGCACCTTTTGCTGCGTTTCCAGCGGACTGTTGGCCAGGAAGGGCGGCTGTCCCACCAACATCTCGTAGAGGATGACGCCAACGCTCCAGTAATCACACAGCTGCGTATATCCACTCCTTTCCAAGACCTCGGGCGCTATGTAGTTGGGAGTGCCCACCAGTGAGTGGGCCAGGACTCTTTGGTGATCGCGCATCCGTCGCCTGCGAGTTCGGCATACTTTTATTAATGGCTTCCTTTATTAATTAAGTGTACGAAACTCACCTCTCCAGCACTGTGGGCTTGGGTCCGTTCTCCGAGTATTCCTCCCAAGGTTCCATCGAATCCTGACGCGAGTGGTTACCTGCCGTTTTAAAAGGGTTTTATTAGAAGGGTTTAGTTTTACTTTTTAGTTTAGTCTTACCATTCTCCTGGTAGTACTTTGAGTTGTGCGTCCATCGGAATCCCGTGCACAGACCGAAATCGGTGAGTTTTATGTGTCCGTCTCTGTCGATGAGTATGTTGTCAGGCTTGATGTCTCTGTGAAAGTATAAGCAATTAAAAACAGTTTTCAAAAACATGTTTAAATTAGTTTCGAAATAACAATTTTTTAAGCTGACTTTAATTTAAGAATTTCAAAACAATTAACTAATAAAATAGAACATTAACATATCTTAATGTAAATTTGTCGGCGGATCAAGGCTTTACTTATGTTATTAAATATGTTTTATTAAAAATTCGTATGTCCTACAGGACATTATTTTGATTTAAATTTGTTAACAAAGCTTTGTATTATCAGGCGATAAACAAGATGACTGTTCAATCAACTTTTACCACATTGTCTGTGTATATTTTGAAACTACCTGTGAATAAAGCCCATTTTATGGACGCTGTCAACGGCGCAGGTGACCTCGGCGATGTAGAATCTAGCCAGTTCCTCCTCGAAAATGCCCAGCTTGATGAGCAGCGACATCAGATCGCCACCTGCAGGGCAAATTTAAATCATTAGCATGCCCATCTACCACACTTATTACAATACTCACCCGGTATGTAGTCCATCACAAAGTACAGATTATCCTTATCCTGAAAACTGTAGTACAACTTCACCACCCAATTGTTGTCGGCCTCTGCGAGAATATCCCTTTCGGCCTTGACATGGGCCACTTGATTCCTCTTAAGGACATCGGCCTTTCGCAGGGTTTTCATCGCATACAAATGATTAGATGTGTCGATTTTGCGCACCAGAGTTACCTCACCAAAGGCACCCACTCCAATGGGTTTCAGTTTCATGAACATGCTCTTGTCCATTTTGGCGCGCTTCAATCGAATATAGTTGCTCTCCTTTTGATTCAGCATTTTCCTCATTTCGATCTGCGTTTGATCTGGAAGCCCAACTTTAAGCATTTCCTTTTCCAACTGATTTTTGCGATAGGTTCGCTGGCGATAGGACTTGATCACGTTTTCAATATGCTGTTCCATAAAGAACTTGAAGGCTTGCGGGGAATACTGCCTGATGCGGAACTCTTTGCGTTCCTCCTCCTTTTCCTTGGACAGATTCTTGCGTTCCGGGATGGGTGACGCGTGTTTAATCTTCTTGCAGGTGGTCGATGAGGAGGCCGTGGTGCTGGTGGATCCATTGCTGCCTCCCGAGCTATTGCCTCCCGTGTTCGAGGAGGCATTATTATATTTGGTTGGCGGTATAGGTGGCGTGGTGGCCAAATTGCTGTTGCTTATTTGTATGTTATTGTTATTGCAGCTGGTGGGTGGTTTGATATCGGTGTTATTGTTATTACTCTGATAGGGCGGTGGTGGTGGCAATTGCCTGCTGGGATTGCCATTGGTTAGCTTTTGTTGATCTCGTTCCCTTTCCCTTTGAGCTTGGAGCACCCTTAAGGTCTGAATTTGCTGCTGTTGCTGCTGGTGGAGTTGCTGCTGCTGTTGCTGTTGCACTTGTTGCTGCTGCTGTTGCTGTTGCACTACTTGCTGCTGTTGTTGCCCCACCGTGGCCGCCTTGGCCTGCATGCTCTTGGCATAGGAAGGTGGCTCCAAGCAGTTTGGCTTGCTATTCAGACCCACCAAAGGTGGTGTTGTGGGCGTGGGCGGTTTCGATTGCTGGTGCTGATGTTGGTGGTGTTGCGCCGCCGCTGCCGCCTGTTGCTGCTGCTGCACCACTGCTGCGGATTTTTGGGGATACGAGGGCGGTGCCGCCAGGACGTGAACAGGTGAATTGCTGGCGGAGGCACTCGATGGAGATTGTGGTGCAACTGCCGTCTGGAGTACGGGCTTTTGAACCTGCGTGCTCTTCACACTCTGCATTATGATGGGCTGCTGACTTCGGGCTTGGTAAACCCGCGGCTGTGGCTTCGCCAGCGG